GATGATTTAAATCTGATTGTCAATACAAACCTTGATCACTCTCATTCTCCAAAATATCATAACATCACAAAAAAACCTCAATCTGAATTAGCTCTTTTGTTAAAAAAAATACCACCTCTGTGACGTATGGAGATTCCATCATCCAGATGAGCATAATTACACTTCTCTCCTGCTCATAAAGTATACACCAGGATTGACTATATATTAACTTCTCATTATTTACTCCATCAAATGCAAACTTTTAACATTAATTTTAACGTTTGGTCAGACCACTCCTGGGTGGAGTGTGTTATATCTCAAAATTCCACTTAAATACAAACATTCAGTTGGTCATTAAGGCTTTATTACTTGCTGGTACATCATATGCAACTAAAAATTCCAACAGCTGGAGATCAGGCAGACCTTCTTTCCTTCCTGTATCTCATTTCCTCACAGTCTCTCAGACTGTGAAATACCATGAATCAGCACCCCTGCCCCTTGACATAGCTGAGTTTGTTACAGTTGGATTAGGGAGCCCTCTGCTGTTAAACGGCATCCGCACATCATTGGGTGTTGCACTAGCATTACATTTATAGCAGTCATTTGCCTCCTGGATTGTTTTATGCACAGAGGAAAATCCAGTTGTGAATGACTGTTTTAGCATAATATCCTGTGATGTCTGGATTCAGTCTTAATAGACATTCCATAACTGGAAGTGTGTGTGTGCTTTTATACCGCAAACAGAAACTGGAATTTTTTGGGAGTTAGGATCAGATTTTATTTTTAATGCATGGACCCAGAGCAAGTTTTGCCTTGGAGAACAAAATGAAGCAAGACAAAGGCTACCAAAGTTTTGTCAAGAGAACACACTGGTCATAGAAGACACCCTCTTTCAACAACCTAAGAGGTGACTCTACACATGGACATCACCAGATGGGCAGCACGGAAATCAGTTTGATTATATCATTTGCAGTCAAAGATGGAGAAGCTCTATACAGTCAGTAAAAGCAAGACCTGGAGCTGACTGTGGCTCAGATCATGAGCTACTTATTGCAAAATTCAGGCTTAAACTGAAGAAAGTTGGGAAAACCACTAGGACATTCAGATTTGGCCTAGATCACATCCCTTATGAATATACAGTGGAGGTGAAGAATAGGTTTAAGGGACTAGATTTGATAGACAGAATGCCTGAAGAACTATAGATGGAGGTTTGTAACATTGTACAGGAGGGAGCCAGATAATGAAACTGAAGCTCAAATACTTTGGCCACCAAATGAGAAGGGAGCACTCACTGGAGAAGACCCTGATGCTGGGAAAGATTGAAGGTCAAAGAAGACTGAACAACAACAACAACAACAACAACAACAGGAGGCAGCAATCAGCACCATCCAAAAGAAAAAGAAATGCACGAAAGCAAAGTGGCTGTCTGGTGAGGCTCTACAAATAGCTGAGGAAAGAAAGCAAGCAAAAAGCAAAGGTGAAAAGGAGAAAGCAAAAAGCAAAGGTGAAAAGGAAAGATTTACCCAACTGAATGCAGATTTCAGAGAACAGCAAGGAGAGATAAGGAGGCCTTCCTGAATGAACAATGCAAAGTAATAGAGGAAAGCAATACAATGGGAAGGACTAGAGATCTCTTCAAGAAAACTGGAGAAATCAAGGGAACGTTCCGTGCAAAGCTGGCCATGATGAAGGACAAAAAGGGGAGGGACCTAACAGAAGCTGAAGAAATTATGAAGAGATGGCAGGAATACACAGAAGAACTATACAAGAAGGACCTCAATGTCCTTGACAATCACAACGGTGTGATCACTGACCTCGGGCCAGAAATCCTGGAGTGCAAAGCCAAAAGGGCCTTAGAAAGCATTACTAACAACAAAGCTAGCAGAGGTGATGGTATCCCAGCTGAGCTATTTGAAGTCTTAAAAGATGATGCTATTAAAGTGCTGCATTCAATATGCCAGCAAATTTGGAAAACACAACAGTGGCCACAGGATTGGAAAAGGTCAGTTTACATTCCAATCCCAAAGAGGGCAATGCCAAAGAATATTCAAACTATTGCACAGTTGCACTCATTTCACATGCTAGCAAGGTCATGCTCAAGATCCTACAAGGTAGGCTTCCTTAGTATGTGGATAGAGAACTGTCAGAAGTACAAGCTGGGTTTTGTAGAGAAACTAACGATTAAATTGCCAACATTCGCTGGATTATGGAGAAAGCAAGAGAGTACCAGAAAAAGCTGGGAAAGATTGAAGGTCAAAGGAGACGGGGACGGCAAAGGATGAGATGGTTAGACAGTGTCATAGATGCAACAAACATGAAATTGAGCAAACTTCAGAGGACGGCGGAAGACAGGAAGGCCTGGCATGATCTGGTCCCTGGGGTCGTGAAGAGTCGGACTCAACTGCAACTGAACAACAACCACAACCAGAAAAACACATACTTCTGCTTCATTGACTATGCTAAAGCCTTTGATTGTGTGGATCACAACAAACTATGGCAAGTCCTTAAAGAGATGGGAGTACCAGACCATCTCACATGTCTCCTGAGAAACCTGTATAAGGGTCAAGAAGTGACAGAACTGGATATGGAACAACTGATTGGTTTAGCATAGGAAAAGGAGTACAATAAGGATGTATATTGTCACCCTGCTTATTTAATTTATATGCAGAGTACATCATGCGAAAAGCCAGCCTGGATGAATCACAAACTGGAATTAAGATTGCTGGGAAAAACATCAACAACCTCAGATATGCAGCGGATACCACTCTAATGGCAGAAAGTGAAGAGGACCTAAAGAGCCTCTTGCTGAGATTATGGCATCCAGCCCCATCCCTCCTTGACAAACAGAAGGGGAAGTCCTGGAAGCAGTGACAGAATTCACGTTCCTGGGATCCAAGACGGTGGACTGCAGCCCATGAAATTGATGCCTGCTCCTTGGGAGGAAAGCTATGGCAAACCTAGGCAGCATAATAAAAAATAGAGACATCACCCTGCCAACGAAAGTCTGTATGGTCAAAGCAATGGTATTCCCAGTAGTCATGTATGGCTGCGAGTAGGTCGAGTGCCGAAGAATAGATGCTTTTGAATTAATGTGCTGGAGAAGACTCTCGAGAGTCCCTTGGACTGCAAGGAGATCAAATCAGTCAATCCTAAAAGAAATCAACCCTGACTGTTCCCTGGAAGGCCAGATACTGAAGCTGAAGCTCAAATACTTTGGCCACCAAGTGAGAAGGGAGCACTCACTGGGGAAGACCCTGATGCTGGGAAAGATTGAAGGTCAAAGAAGAAGAGGACGGCAAAGGACTAGATGTTTAGACAGTTATCAATGCAGTGAACATGAAATTAAGCAAACTCCAGAGCACGACAGAAGCCAGGAGGGCCTGGTGTGATGTGGTCCCTGGGGTCACAGAGTTGGACTCAAATGTGCAACTGAACAACAACAACAAATCATATACTGGCTAGCATAGATTTTAATGCTAGCTGAACCGAAAGTCCCAAGAAGCAGTACTCAGAGTTTGTTTTTTACATTCTTTAACCAGCCTGAAGCTAGTCCTGGCCCCACTGCTGGACCTCCTGATGGCACTTTGTGACAGAGTGTTGGACTAGATGGGCCGTTGGCCTGATCTAACATTGGTTTTTCTTATGTTCTTATTGAGAAGGCAAAAAATGCATCGGCACAATTTTTTAAAGTTAATCCTGTAACGACAAACCACCAAACTTCTGTTCAGCAGCTGCCTATAATGAAATAAGCAGTGCCAGCTTCCCAAGATCTAGCAACCTTAAAAGTTCAGTCAGAACAATGATTGACACACTACTACTAATGATCCTTGAGTGAGTGATGAAGTACTTCTGTGAGTTTGGAAGGTTTAAGTTTAGAGGAGGCCAAGTATCAGGGTAAGGTAATTGGCCATTATAAACAAATGAGGAATTCTAGGCACCAAGAGTAGCTGGTTACCTACTCAGATGGAAGGGGAAAGGGGAGCATGTGGATGGGGGAGAAGGATTGAGGGGGACAAAGAGAGTTAGCAGTCCTTGGGCCAGTGGAGAGTTCAGTAGTGATGGAGTAGGTTCAAAAGGCTGGGCTGCTAGTAATCCAATGGGGAAGAGCCACAATTTGTGTGCTGTGCAGGTGCTTCAGCTGTTCACAGGACATACATGGTCTTAGCTCAGGCAAAATGACACCTTGGAGAAAGATTCTGTCCTCAGTTATAGCGCCAGTAGGGGAAGCCCAGAAAGAAAATAATCTTTTCGGGGGGAGGGGGGGAGGTGTGTGCCTCCAGGCTATGTAAATGAGAAGATGGTTCTTGGAAATGTGCTAATTCAAACAGGGGGGAATGGGCTTTTGGATTTGGTTGTGATTTCTTGGAGAAGCAGTAGATGTGCTACTGATGATTATATCAGTTCATAGGGTTGCCAACTCCCACTTGGGAAGTACCTGGAGATTTTGGGGGTGAAGCCTAGGAAGGACAAGGTTTAGGGAGGGGAGAGAGGTGTGGAATGCCATAGACTCTACCCTCAAAAGCAGCCATTTTCTCCAGGGGAACATCTCTGTCAGCTGGAGACCACCTAGAATTCCAGGAAATCTCCAGCTACCACCTGGAGGTTGGCATCCCTAATAATTGAAGTAAAATGGCAACAAAAGGGGACATGAATGTATACAGGAAGGGTCTCTTGTGGCAATAAGATTGCTGGCGTTTCCAGACTGTGGTCTGATCATCTCTGAGTGCTGATCCATGGGTGAGGTATTGATTTATTTCTGTCCTTGTGCACTCCCATCCAGTGTGGTATCATGGGGTGCATCCATTTTCGCAGCATGTGTCCAAAATATGGTAGCAGAGACTCGACTGAACCTCTTATACAGTGTCTGCAACAGTTGGTGTGCCAGGGAGGAAGAAGTTGCCTGAATTTACCTTGTAAAATATTTTAAGATGTTCACTTATGCCTGACGAATGGCAGAAGTAGTGAAAATTAATAAAACTAACAACTCCATTGTATATATTTTTTTCCTGTTTTTAAAATAGGAAACAGATGAAAGAACTTGAGGAGATCGGGATGTTGAAAGGAACACTGAAGGCGGAGCAGCAGCTCTCCCTTATTAGTGGCTGCACAGATTTAAAAGCAGCAGTAGAGGGAGCCATGTACATTCAGGTGAGTATATGCTGGTTCATTTCAAATGCCTGCGGCATGAACCGTTGCGGTAAGGAGCTGCAGTGTAGGTATATCTCATATATGTGCTTCATTTAGGTCTGGTTGCAAATAAAGTTGAAAACACTTGACCCCTTTTTACAAACAAAACCTCAGATTCACTATGAAGCAATAGTTAATTTAATTCCAGTGATATTTGTGTACTGGCTAACGCACAACAGAACAAAAGAGGAAAGTGAGATCTTTATCTTCTGTGGTCAAAACAATGGCTTGGATCTCATGGGAGATTTTTGTTAATAGAAGGTTGGGTGCTTTTGGGCAGGAGCCCTTGCTCAGTGGTAGAGGGGGATCACACTCAAATCCACCTTATACTGAATGAGACCCTTGGTCCATCAAAGTCAGTATTGTCTACCCAGACTGGCAGCAGATCTCCAAGGTCCCACGTAGAGATCTTTCACATCATCTACTGCCTGGTCCTTTTAACTCCAGTTAAAATGAGCAGGTAGTAGGTAGACGTGAAAGACCTCAGCCTGAGTCCCTGGAGATCCATTGCCAATCTAAGTAGATAACACTGACCTTGATGGACCGCTGGTGTGACTCAGTATAAGGCAACTTCATGTGCATTCACGTGTGTGCGCGCTCCCTGTCATCTCTCATTTTCCTTTTTTGCTCTTTTATTAAGTCTTCTTCTCTACCTCCACTTTCTTTTGCTCTTGTTCCTAGGGAAGAACTTAAGAATGTTTAAACTGGCACTGAGTATCATTGAGCTACTGCGGCACACCTGCTAGTGTTACTAACATGGGACTGATAGCAGAAGAGAGCCATTTTAAAAGGGCATATATGCATTTTGTTCTTCTTCAGTCGCACAGTTGAGTCTGACTCTTCGCAACCCCATGGACCAGATCACGCCAGGCCTTCCTGTCTTCCGTCGTCCTCTGAAGTTTGCTCAGTTTCATGTTCGTTGCATCTATGACACTGTCTAACCATCTCATCCTTTGCCGTCCCCGTCTTCTTTGACCTTCAATCTTTCCCAGCATCAGGGTCTTCTCCAGTGAGGGCTCCCTTCTCATTTGGTGGCCAAAGTATTTGAGCTTCAGCTTCAGTATCTGGCCTTCCAGGGAACAGTCAGGGTTGATTTCTTTTAGGATTGACTGATTTGATCTTGCAGACCAAGGGACTCTCAAGAGTCTTCTCCAGCACCATAGTTCAAAAGAATCAGAGTACAGGATGCAAGTATCTGAGTTAAATATTTGAGAACATTACAAATAGATGTCTTCTGCACTGAGGCATGGCATGCCAACTTCACTCTAAATCTGTGCTCATGTCATTCACCTAATATGCGGCAAATTGGATGTGGCACAGCATTCATCCACCAGGCCTTCAGTTAAGGAGCCGCACCTATCGAAGTAAGACCCTGTGCCTAATACCAACATTGACAGCCTGAGCTTCGCCGATCCTAAAACCAATAGCCGACTGTATCTCTATTATGGCTGATGCTACTACTGTTTTGCCACCACCATACAAACTGATCACTAGCACTTTATGTTGTGTTTTATATTTATATGTATTTATATTTGTTGTTTTTATGTGTCTAAATTTTATGTAATCTGCCTTCAGCCTGCTTCGGTGGGGAGGGTGGGGTATGTATCAGATAGATAGATAGATAGATAGATAGATAGATAGATAGATAGGCAAGGCAGTTTTCAAGTTGCCCAGAGACCCCCTTCTCCCTGGAACAGCTTGGTAAACTGAAAAATTATCTCCCCATGGAGATACATGAAACAGTAATATGGCACAGACATAGGCTTGGTTTGTTTGTTTCAAAATATCGATATCATGCCTAGTCTAGAAGGACTCAGTAGCTAGGAAAAACAGTTAATCAAATAATTGCATTAAAAAAACCCCAAAGTACTGCAAAGAAACCCAGCGCTCCACAGCACTTTCCGTTCTCTACAATAATAAGCAAACCAGCTCCATTAAACAACTGTAATAACCTTAGATATCTGAGAAGCCTTTGGGCAAAGCAAATCTTACAGGCCTCCCGAAAAGAAATGTAAAGAGATGTTGGGACTTGCTGCGTAGCCTCAGGCTAGCCATTCCAGAGAGCTGCAACCACAAAGGAAAAAAAACCCAATTTCTTGTAGCAGCCAGGTGAACGGAACTGTGTGTGTGTGTGTGGGGGGGTACTAGGAAGATCTGAGTTGGGTCACAGCTTCATCTCGAACCAGATGAAGAGTATCTGTCAAAATCTGACTACAAAACGTCTAGCCATACAGATGCGTAAGATGCCAGAAAGTAATGTCAACAAAATATTTAAGTAGACAGAAGTTTTCAGTATTTGCTTCAAATCTTAGAAGAGATGCCTGTGTGTGTGTGTGCTTTGACTTACACAAGCTTATACCCTAGACAGTGTTGTTGTGCTATGGGACTTGGATTTTGCTGTGTGTGTGTGTATCTTCTGAAATATTTTGCGTGCCCAGTGGAGGGAGGCAGTGTGCTGGGAAGGCTGCTGAAGAGCCATCAGGATGGATACCTTTTTTTGAACCCAGTGGACTGTTTTTCACATTAGCATTCTGCCTGGGCAGTGAGTCCCAGGCATGGGCTTAATTGTCTGTTATTCCACCTGCTCTTCCCTAGCAGCCCTCAAGTGGCTAAGTTAGAGCTGCTGCCGTCGAGAATGTACAATAATTCACATTGGTGAATATCTTAATGTTTTTGTTTGGTGCGTCAGATTTAAGTGTAATGGCCAGTCTGTATTGACACAGTAGCGCACCCATGCAAAATATGCTTCGAATAAAAAAAAAGCCAGACAAACTGATCAAGCGTGTACTTGCCAAGAAGACATGCTGTTTGCCGTACTCTGGAGCAGTCATAAAACAAAGTGTGCAATGTAAATGCTTTGTTGGGGGTGTAGTCTGTCCTCCCAGTTGCCCCCTGTTTGAAAACAGCAGCAAGGAATTGTAAGAATCTCAATTGCACAGTGTTTAAAACTTTCCAGTGTACTCAAAGATTTGTGTCCTTTAGTAATGTTTAAAGTTTGTTGTTCCTTCACAAGATACAGTAATCTATGTCCCTTTATAGCTGTAAAATATTTAGGTGGGTCCAGAGTTCTGGTTGTGCAAATGGAAAGTGCTTCTGCCCACATGCAAGGCACGTTTCTGCTCCAGTTAAAGGGGAAGGGAGAGCTGGGAGAAATCACCCACTTGTACATGAGGGGGGGGGGAGGGTGGATGGGATTAGGCCTGCTGGTTTGAACAAAATACATGGGTTACTATCCAGTGTAAGAAAAGCACGAGTGTACTTTTTAAAAACAGAATAAAGGTTCCTCTTTCCCCTGCCTGGGGCAATATAAGATATTGATTCTCAAAAGTCGGTGATTTTTCTTATACATATTTGCATTTTGCTGCTGTTTAGAAGATGCATCAGTGACAATGATTAGTAAAGGCTCAGGGTTGTCTAGTTCGTAAAATCTGGCTACTTAGTTATTTCTACATTCATGGCTAATTCTGTTTTTTTCAAATATTTGTATCCTATCTTTTTCCACACTGCAAAACTTAAAAGTTTCTTACATAATTAAACCAGTTAAATTAAGAGGAGACCCCCCCAATCCTTTTTCCAACATCAGTAGCACTTTGATAAAATCAACTAGTCTACTGAAGCATAATTTAGTCCAATAAAGTCTACTCAGCCGCTGTATTACTAGACGATGAAACAACTGAGCCTCAGTAAAACTTTTTTCTGAAGACTGGCTTGACAGAATGTGAAGCTGCTCTTAAGGCAAGTGTAAATGTTTTCCTTCTATTACAACATGTTTACCTGTGATCATGGTTTAATAGAGGTGAGAAAGCCACAAGCCTGGGAGTTGGATCTGTGCCTCCTGACCTGATTTCTGTTCAATTGCTTGAGTCATATCCATGCAGCTGTTTAATTTCACTCCCACTACAGTACTGGCTTACACTACGTAGTGTACCTTAGGTCTCTGTGAGAAAGGGGAACTGTAAACACACATGCGCACACAAACACACAAGCTCTAAGATTTTTAATGGACATACTCAGAGACTAGCTTTGGAGTGGGAGGGGCCTTTATGTTAAAGTAGAATACTATTAGAAGAACATCCGACTGCACAGAGGGAATAATCTAAGATATCAAGTAGTTATCTAAGCTCTATTCCCCCCCCCACACACACACACACTATTTGTAGGGTGTTTAGGAATGTTTAAGCAGGAAGTTGGTAAAGAAGAATGATATTGTAACCTCACCGGTACACTGTGTGGGAAATTCGGGTGGAGAGTGTATGCCTGCATCACACCCTTTAGGATATTATAAGCTCAACAGTTTGAGCAAACCATTTCTCTTCCAAATTCTCTCCCCTTTTTTCTTTAACTGGCCTTCAACAGCACTGAACATTTTTTGGCTCATAGGTGGGGTTGAGCATGCTCAGGAAGGGGATTTTTTAAAAAAAATTGTACAATTTTACTGCATTCCTGGGGAAACTTGCAAGTATTCAGAAACCATTTTTCTGCAGTAGCCCCAGTTTGCTGCTCTAATAATAGGCATCAGCAGGGTTTTTTTTCCCTTTTGGAAAAAGAGGTACTGAAACTCTCAAGAGGGAAATGAAGTTTTCAGTCTGTAGACTGAAAATTCGTGAACTTTTAAACATTTTAAAAAGACTTTTGTCAAAGAGGTTCTGGGGTTTCGTTCCAGCACGTTCCCCCAGAAAAATAGCCCTGAAGGCCATGAAGTTTTCTGTTAAACTTGGGGGTGGGAATCAATGGGATGTTTCAATAAATGAACTTAATGAAACAAAAAAAAAGACCGGTGTGCTCCAGGGCTAAATTAATAGCTTCCTGCTCTCCCAGCCTTCAACTTCAGCAGATTAGGACTATTGTATAATTGCTCCATGGATAGCCCAGGCTAGCCCGATCTCACCAGATCTCAGAAGCCAAGCAGGATCTGCCCTGGCCAGTATTTGGAAGGGAGACCTCCAAGGAATTCCAGGATC